ATTGTGTCCCCAGGGTTCTTTCCTTATAAGTCTCAGTGGAAACTAGAAGACCTTACAAAGGTAAGTGTATTTCTGGAAAATATCTACAGGTGGATATCTGAGGTTTACTTTCCCAGAGGTCAGAATCCTGTTGAAGGAAGGAGAGGAGCATGGCGGTGCCCAGCAGTCAACTACATACAGGTAAGGCTTGGACTTCCTTTTCAGCAGTTTGTCTTCCACTTTACGGTGTTCCTGGTAGGGAGGCTGTGTCGGGAGAGACCAGGAGGAGGCTGGGATTGGGATGGATCTCGCCGGACCCCGCGGCTGGAACTCTCAGAAGGACCTTCTAGGTCATATGAAACCCAGAGCGAGCCACCCCGGACTCCAGTGGCAGCGCCTTTCATTGGGCATACGTGAATGCTTTACATGCACAGATAAATACTGCGCTTTTCGCTCTGGCTCCAAACCTACTTAGACACAGGCTCGGGAGATGCAGGAGAACACCCAACCCAGCCAGTCAGGCGACGTGGCGGATGATGCCGCGCCTTTGGCTCTCGGTGGTGAGCAATGTCCCCTGCTGTCCCCCACCCCCTTCACTGAGAGGGTCAAGGTCAAGTAGGCAGCCAGGCATGTCCTGAAGGGAATCATGGGTTACGTCTAAGCTCCCGCGACTTGCTTTTGGAAGTACTGTAAAAGATGGACAGAGCGGGTTCCTGCCCTTCTCACCTCGTCCACATGGATGAACTTGCTCCTGCAGCCCGAGGTCTGCCCCCACCGTCTCTGCCTGGCTCCTAGCGGGAGACACAGGCCGGACAGTCTATCAGGTTGGAAACCACAGTAACTTCCTTGCATACAAACTACTGATGGGAAAGTTTGGTTTCTTTCTCTTTCCCTTCGTTTATGTAATTTTCTCTCCAAATACGTGCGACCTTACTATTCCCCGGCACAAATTCCAACCCTGCTTTTAAAATTTGATATCTGGCGAGACGTCATGGCTCACGCCTGTAATCCTAGCTCTTTGGGAGGCCAAGGTGGAAGGACTGCTTGAGGCCAGGAGTTGTACACTAGCCCGGAAGACATGAGACCCCGCCTCTACAAAACATTTAAAAACTTAGCTGGGCGCAGAGGCTCAAGCCTGTCATCCCAGCACTTTGGGAGGCCGAGGTGAGAGGACTGCCTGAGCCCAGGGGTTCGAGACTCACCTGGGCAACTTGGCGAGACCTCAGGTCTACCATAAATCAAAAAAGAAGTCGGGCGTGGTGGTGCGGGCCTGTGGTTCCAGCTGCTTGGAAGGCTGAGGTGGAAGGATCACTTGAACCCAGCAGGTGGAGGCTGCGGTGGCTGGGGGCGTGCCACTAGCGGCACTCCAGCCTGGGTGAGAGTGAGACTCCGACTCAAACATTAAAAATAAAAAAAATAAAAATAAAAAATTAGCCGGGCGTGGTGGTGCCCGGCTGCAGTCCCAGCTACTCGGGAGGCCGAGGAGGGAGGATCGCTTGAGCCCAGGAGTTCGAGGCTGCGGTGAGCGACGACCGCGCCGCTGTGCTCCA